CGAGCTCTCTTGTTTGTTTCGCCTTTTTTTGTCCGCTCTCGCTCCCCTTCTGTTGCGCAGGATTGCTTTGATACCCTCCAGATGCCCGTCGAGCACCCTCCCGGCCCGTTTCTCGTCCGATTCCTTCTCGGATTGCTTGCATTGTCCCTTGTTTTTGCGTGCTTCTGGGACAACTCGGTCATACTGGTACACGTCTTGAGTGTCTTTTCTTGGGCTGAGTTTTTCGCGCCACCCACCAAAAAGCCCAACAACCCCCCCCCCCCCCACCCCGTCCTTGTCGTCTTTGGTCAGACCTCGCAGACGGCGCGCGTGGCGAGTTTTCTTCGCCAGGCACCTTCCTCTGCGGGGACTTCTGCGAGGTCTGCCCCGAGGGCCTCGTCTGCCCGGCGGGGCGACTGCCGCCGCAGCAGCAGTGGGGGACCTGGGCCCCAGAGATCGACGTGATAGAGCCGTCCGGTGGCACCTGCCCGATCAAGCGCCTGATCTGCCAAACCCAGCCGCCAGGCAGAAATGCGGTTTGAGCGGATGGGGGCGGTTTGGGTGTGTGTGACTCAGATTTTGTTCGGCGGATTTGGAGCCCCCAAAGACGGTGGGGTTCATGTTGGTGTCGCCCTAAAGCCACAAAGAAAGGGTACCCTCAAGGCCCTCAAGCAGAAAAAGCAGCAACAACACATGCCCATTGGTGTGTTGTGCGGGTCATGTTGTCATTTTTGTTTTTGGATTTGTTGTCTTTGAAAGGTGCTGTTTTGAGTGCAGGGGAGGAGTAACACCGTGTTCGCCGGGTCTCATCCTGGTAGAGAAAAGCCCAAGCCAGCGCTGCGAAGCTCCTGCTTGAGGCAAAACTCAGGTCACCCCGGATTGGAGCCCGGTGGTGTGGATTCGGATTGAAGCGCTTGTGGAGGCTAAGTTGGGTGCTCCCCCTCCTGAACCACCAAACAGGGAAGCTGTCAGCAAGCAGTTTGCCATGCCTGAAGGCCTGAAGGCCTGAAGGCAGCTATGCAGCACAAGAGGACCTGACCTCTGCATTTCCTAAGGAGATTCTCTGAAGCTGCGCGCAAAAGCGCGCGCAGAATGAAAGAGACATGTTTGAGATCGAAGCAGGGGGAATGATGTGGTACTTGGCGTGTGCTCGCAGAAGAAGCAGCACATCTCGCGATTTCTGCTGCAGCTTTTGTTGTTTGGGTATGGGTCAAAATTCAACCACCAGGAATTGGACCGCTGGTTTTAGTCTTTGTTTCCATTTGCCAGGGTTGGTTTTAGTCTTTGTTTCCATTTGCCAGGGTTTCATTTTGGGTGCCTATTTTTCACCCACATCTGTTTTTCTCTCAATCCGCTGCAAACCGGCCACAACCGGCGTTGGGAATCCGCTGCAACCCGGCGTTGGGAATGAATGTAGGGATTCCCTCAAAGGGAACCATGGGGGATTGTTTTTTTTTTTTGGGGGGGGGGCATTCCATTTCTCATTCTGAGCAACAGCAAGAAAAGTAGGCTGGAGGCAGGAAAGCAGTCTTCAGACATTCCCAACTCTATTCCTGCCTGACCCCCGAGATCTGGCTCGTGGTTCGCCATGTCCAAAGTGGAACAACGTCACTCACGCCATTTGGGACCTCCAAACATGGCAGTTTTCATGGAAACCCAGCAACTCTTGCCGGGGATGTCCAGTGACCCCAGTTGCTTGAGCTGAGAGTTTTCATTTGAACGTGACCGTTTTAACCCCCCAAATGAAGGCAATGCCTTTTTCAGGGCGATTCATCTACCTTCCGTTTGGGTAAGGATATTTTGTATTTCTTCAAAGGGAATCGAATTCACTGGACATCTCGTCTCAGTTTCTCTCGATCAAGCAAGCCCCTCCATGGGCATCAAACCAAGAAATCTGCGAATCCCAATGACCAGCCTCTAGCCAGCGTTCTTCCTTTCGGCGGGCTGGAACCCGGCAGTTTGCTCTACGCATACCTTGGACTAAAGCAGATCTGGTGTCTGTTTTTTTGTTGCCTTCGTTTTTGGGTTCCAAGAAACCTACAAGGAACCAGGAGGGAATAAAAAGGACGAAACAAAAGCACATCCCCTGGTCCGCTTCCCGCCCCGAAAAGAAAGGAAGAGCCGCCGCGTTTATTTCGAAAACCCGCCGCGTTTCGGGGTTCGGAGCGCCGTCGCCTCGGGCACATCGGGCACGCGAGCCGAGGGTGCACTGCCCGGAGGGGGAGATGGGGCGCTGCGCGATTGGGCGCCAGGGCAAGGCTTGCGGCACCTGCCTCCAGGGCTTCTATCCCCTGCAGGCGGTGCTGGGGGGGAATTGGGGGCAGGGGGGGGGCAGGGGGGGCAGGGGGGGCAGGGGGGGCAGGGGGGGCAGGGGGGGCAGGGGGGGCAGGGGGGGCAGCAGGGGCAGGGGTGGCAGGGGGGGGCAGGGGGCAGGAGGGGGGGCAGGGGGGGCAGGAGGGGGCAGGAGGGGCAGGAGGGGCAGGGGGGGAATTGCGGGGGGGGGGGGGGGTGGCAGGGGGAATTGGGGGGTGGGAAGGGGGGGTGTACGGAAAGGGGTGGAGGGGAGGTTGTGAAGGGACCGGACCCGGGATCGACCGGGGTTTCTGCGGCGAAGTCGCTTGCCCTCACGGCCCCCGGAAAGAAAGGGACAAAGCTCAATCTGCTTACGTCTTAGTTTTTCTCTGTTGGCTTTGAAGGGAGCTACTGGAAATATGTTTTCTTGTTCCAAAACTCTCAAGCAAATGGAAGAAACACATGGGTCAAACAGTGGCTGGAGAAATAGAGCCCCCGTCCTTCAGGGATGGGTTTCCTGACTGGAATCCATGGGGGGTCGCTCACAAAAAAACCAATGAATGACAAACTTGGGTTGCTTCTCAAAATCATTGGGGTTCTCCACCAATCCAATGTCAGCAATGAATATACTTGTATATTTTGTGCTTCTACACACTTACAAATACTTGCGCAACAATTAAACCACAAACACACAACACAAAATATGGTCAGCCCCCCCCTGGATCTACCTTTTCTCTAGGAGTAGTTTCACAAAGTTCTTGTGCAGTACCCATCTTTAATGCCAGGCTTTTTATGAGTTCTAGACCGATGTTTCGCATGCATCATGAAAAACAAAGTATGTGCAAAACCCCCTGACCGGATTCTGGTCTCTGGCATTTCACGAGGAGATGGGCATGAAAGACCGTGTTTCCTTATGCTCTACGCCTGCAAAGCGTGAACCGAACGCCTTTTTTTTCTCCGCGTTGTTCGGACATGTGCAATAACCAAACCATCAGCAAGCTCGATTTGACCCTTTCAAATGCAAGCAAGTGGATTCAAAAAGGAAGCCACTTTTTTCAAACAAAGCCAGTAACAGACCGAGGGACACCAAAAAAGAAACAACACCTTTAGAAAACAAACAGGCAATCTCTGGGGGCGAATCTTTGGTTTCAGCCCCAAACTTTAGTCTTCGGGTTTCTCGAGCCAGGTGTCCAGAAACCCAAAAACCTGGAGTGCTTGGGGTTTTTGAGGGATAATGTCCAAAAAGCAAGGACGCTGAGGGATATCCCAAGAAAAATAACAACACCGCGAGAAAACCTAAAAATGCCCCCCAGAGACGTTTTTTTTGGTTTGTTTCCCGAGGTTTTTTCGTTTTCCCGAAGTGGTTTTCATGTTTTGCATTTCCCTTCCCAAAAAGTCGTGTTTTGTGTTTTTTTCTCCTTCTGACGCAACAAATTTGGTTTGTGAGCAGTGACAATGAAGTTGTTGTTCTTGTTGAGATTTGCTCCTTATGCTCGGAGGGGTCCCTAATTTTGAGCGACACCCATTCTTTTATGCTGTACACAACTTGGAGATGCATATTCTTATATATATACACATACATTATACATTACCCGAAGCATAGATAGATAGATACAGATAGATGGATAGATAGAGATAGATAGATACAGATAGATAGATAGATAGTTTACATAACTCGAACTTGGGGCCCGAGAAGAAACGCGAATTTGAAGGGCTGAGTTGGGCAGGGCTTGAGGGGCTGGGATGTGCGAAACGCGGATGCCCCTGGGATGTACGAGGCGCATATTTAGCTCGACAAAAGTGGTGCGTACATATGTATACAAATCACTCGAAGACACATATATATATATATATATAGACACACCCATACATACATGTTTTACAACTTTGTATCATGCACAACTCAAACAAATATGTGTATATATATATATATATGATACATAGCTCAAAGATGTGTATATACACACATATACACATATATACACATACATTCAGACATTAATGCATGCATACATACATACATACATACATACATACATACATACATACATACATACATACATACATACCTACCTACCTACCTACCTACCTACCTACCTACCTACCTACCTACCTACCTACATACCTACATACCTACATACCTACATACCTACATACCTACATACCTACATACCTACATACCTACATACCTACATACATACCTACATACCTACATACATACATACATACATACATACATACATACATACATACATACACGTGTTTACATAGCTCGAGGGACGTCTTGATAAAAATAAACATAAAGAAAATATTGGCCGCGGCTCAGCTGTCAGGAGGGCACCTGTGCGGAGTGCTCCCCCACGGACTCCATGCTATCCTCGTGGTGGCGCCTCGCTCACAGAGAGTTCTCTCGGGGCGCGCGCTCCTTCGGCTTTCGGCGTTTTCGTTCGGCTGGCGTTCGGAACGCGGGGAGGGGTTGGACCGGTTTTGTGGGGTGGTGCCGCTTTTCGCTTCTTCTTTTTTTGTGGGAGAACATGCGGCGAAATGTGGCAGAAGGTGAAAAACTTTTGGTTCTCCAAGCGCCGGAAAGAAGGCCGCCTCCGAAAACCCATCTTGGCTGTGAGTGCGTCCTTTTTTTTTGAGGGTTCATCCCTTTTTTGTGGTTTTAGGAGAGGGATGGACCAACTGGATGGCATGCCCAGGCCGTGTTTCCCATGGCGCAGTCTGACATGAACCACCAGAGCCTGAATGTGATCACAGTGGCGGCCATTGGCAGCCAGATGGACGCTCGGAATCGATCGCACGTGTCGATTGGGATGTGGTTGTTTTTTCCAAGAAAGGGACCCTCTTCAACAAAAACAAACAACCACAAGAAAGACCCCCATTTTCTTCAAGAAAGGGACAACCACAAGAACCCAAGGAAAATGGTGGGTTTCTTCAAGAAAGGCGCCATTTTCGGGATCCCCGTATTATTAGTTCACCTCCCCACCCCCCCGAGTTGCGAACCAACTTGCAGCGGTCATTGATCCTTCCACAAGGATGTTATGTCACCATCATGAAGCCGCTTCGCCCGAACTAACGTCTTTGCAGCCCTTGCTTTGCTGGATCTAACTTGATGAAAGCAGGCCTTTTGCAGTCGTGAGTTCTAGCCTCAACGAGCACAGATAATGTTGGACATGCAGGTCCCTTTGAAGGGGACACTAGTCATTCTCCAAAGGATATTCTTGTCTCCAAGAGGGCCCCCCTGAACAGCAGATGGGGTTGGGCAAATTTGGCTTAAACCACCAGAGCACGCTTTGAACAAACGGTGGAAAACGGGGCTTAAACGAGGAGGTCACTCCACCTAATCTGAGTCTGGTTCGGATCCCGACCCCCAAAAACACCCCTGGTAGTACGACTGTAAAAAGAACTCACTGAGGTCCAGGCACAAAAAGAAAAGAACATCTGGGTATGTTGAAGCCGCGATTTGGAGGGGGGGCTCTTAGACAGGGTTACCTCCTCATCCCTTTTTGGAACCACCAAAAGCGGCAGTTTGAAGGGCAATTACCAGTGAATTGCAACTTCTGAAGGGAAATCCAGTGACCCCTGTTAGAGTGTGCATTTTTTGGGGGGGCACCCTTCTAGACTGGTGAGGGCCCAACTGTTTGTCATAATCAGGTACGGCCGCTTCTGCGCGCAAGCTCCTGAAGAAATCGCCGGCGATTGGGTTTTTAAACCTGACTCCCGGGTTTGGTGAATCTGGAGCCTCACCGCCTCACCTCTACCCACTGTCACTGAGATCAGTATCGTCCACTCAGATCTCTTTGATTCATAGGATCCAAACCCCTCGGCCCCTTGCCCCCCTCCCCATACCCACGCCCCCACCCCCTTTTTGCTGGACCCACTTCCCACTCCTGCCTTGTCAAAAAAGAGATGGAACCTGTCAGATGGGCGGCGTCCGAATTTCCCTTGTGATCCAAATGGCCAACTCCCCCTCAAATCATAATCATCAGGTACCCCTGAATTGGTGGTTTGGATTGTTGGTTTGGATTCACACCTCCAGACCACCGGGCTGCAAATCACCGATTCGGCTCCAAACCACCGATTCGGCTCCAAACCACCAATGACAGGGAAGCTGAAAAAAGACTGAAGCCGGGACTCAGGCGAGCGAGCCTTGGGTGTTCGCTTCGCTTCGCTTCCGCAAGTTTTTAATCAATCTTTTCCACTAAGTCCCCCATCCCACCTTGAGGGATTTTTCCATGCTAGCCCTCTCGAACCTCCGATTTCATCAACTCCCAGCGGCCCGACGGCCCAATCGCCTTGAGGTCATGGCGGTGCAGGCGCTGGGCTCCCTGCGCCAGCTGCCGGTGATTTGGCCGCCGCTCGGCGAGGGTTCGTCAAGGTCCCAGCACGAGAGCGGAGCTGGCCGAACATCTTGGGGGGTTCTTGGGTGGCGATTTTTTTTGGATCTGGAGCCACAAAATGGTTTCGGCTCTTCTCTTGGATTTCCTTTTTTTTTGTTCTTCGCCAAGCGACAGGATAGTCGCAAAAAAGAGAGACCCAGATGGTGTCCAAAGTATCCCCCTGAAAGCTCATACCCAGGTGATTTGACCTGAGGTTGACGAACATGGGAGATCGAAGATGTGGATGTTTGGTTTCCCTGGGGTTGGGCAAGGGAAGTTGCGGGCCTTGGTCCCGAAAAAAAAAGGTACATTTGGACCCAGGATTTACCTTCCCGAAGAAAATATTTCAATAACAGCGACAACAACACTAACAACGAGTGAGAACTTGGGGCGAATACCACGAGAAAGAATTTCGGGTACCACGATAAAGGCCACTTCTCCCTGGAATCATCCAAACACGCGCGCTTTAAGCCTTTGTTCGCAACTCCTCTACAAGTTAAGGGAAGGAACCCAAAAAGGGGCTCAAGTCTTTAACAGGGAGATTCCTCTGAAAATTTTGTGTTTTGTTTGGGTTCGACGTTAATTTGTAGAGAAGGACCAACTGATTTCGAGGATTGAACTGTGGGATGTTCTACCTGAGCGCTGATACTTGACCCGGGTCACGATTTTCCGTTTTCTCGAACATATTTTCCAGTACTCCCTTTGAAGGCGGTCAAAATAATTTTTCAGGGTGATTTTTTCTCAATAAGTTCCTGCTTACCAAAAAGGTGGTTGTTGCCATGATGTTTGCTCAATCCTTCTCCTTGCCGCTGATGTCTGGTCAGGCTACCCTTGATTGGTTTGGATTGGTGGTTTGGGCATTTGAACCGCTGGTTCTTTTGTCGAGGGCAGATGGGAAACCCTCCACCAAACCACGATTCGGCTCCAAACCACCAATGATAGGGAAGCTGAAAAAAGATTGAAGGACAAGGGCCTGAGTTAGCCTCCGTAGTTAGTTGTTGGTAACTTATCTTATCCACTTCTAAGTCCCCCTCAACCTTGGGGATTTGTCCCGTGGCTACCCACTTGCTAACTTCTCGAATGTCCAGTTCCATCAAATCCCTCAAGTTTGATTACAGGAACATCTTCAGGAAGTCGCATCCGAAAAAGCCGAAACTAGCAGCCGATTTCGGCGTTTTGAAGTGACTTCCGGAAGACTTTGCCTGTGATCAAACCCTTCTTCAGGCTGTTTTCCCTGTAAAACACCCTGGCACTATGGGCAGCCAGCCCGGATCCAACCTGGCCATAGGTTCAAACACCGAAGTAAGCACCACGTTTTCCCAGAAACGTCCTGCCACCCACCCGCCTTCGCATCGACTCGCCTCACCCGAAGCGACCCAAGCGGCGAACGGCGAGCGGCGAGCGGCTCGCGCCGAGGCAGCCCTTCGACCAGGTCCTGGAACTCGTGCAGCTCTTCACCCTGGACCTCGCGCCTTGGCAAAGAAGACTGTGGATGGTTGAAATCGAAATCCATTTCGCACCACCTAAGGAACCCTGGAATGATGGTTCCCCTGTAAGTTCCAATAAAAAATGGTCCATGGTTTCAACCATGCTTTGTCAGGTGATGCAGGATTTTGGTACCCCAGCTCGGCTAGCGGTTGGGAGGCTTCAACCCTAGTGCCGGTTTTGGTACCCGTGTTTCTACTGACCGATCGGGCAACCCATTTTGGAATTCCTGTTTTTTGAGCCACAGCCAACTAGGTCCCCCAGCGCCCGGTGCCAACTGTCTCACCCAACCTTTTTTTGATTAAAAGGTTTCAACCCTGCTAAAATCGACAACAGAAAAAATGGGTACCCTTATTCTAACCTCTCTGCTGGAGGAGGAAAATCCTGGGGCGTTTGTGGCGTGCTTTGGAGGACTCAACTCCATGTGGGATGTCTTTGGTTGGACGTCCCCCTCCCTTCCCCCCCCAAAAAAAAGGACGTTATTTTTCTTTTTTTGTTTTGGTTTTCCTTGGCGCCTTTGAAAGACATGGATTCATGTGGGGGTGTCTTTGTTTGCTGGGTGTTTTTTTTTTTCTTCCCCCTTTTTGGTTTCCCTTGAAGACCCACAAAAACACGGGGTACCAACTCCAAAGGGTCCGGAGTTCCGGTTTGGGTCCGGAGGATTCTCCAGGTGGGTTGCTGGGGAGGAATTCTATGTGCGTGTACCAAATGTTCACATGTTTTCTGTTGAAGGAAAGCCAGCTGTCGAAGAGCAACTGGGTTTGTGTTAATATAAGAGGCCCACTACAGTGGCTTCGGTTTTCATTTTGGTTTGCCGGTTCCCCAAACATGGTTAGTTGCCTTTTGGTTTCCTTTTATAAGCACCCCTTCAAAAGGGTACCGCCAAAAAAGACACTCACATATGGCGTTGGATTCGAGTGGCATGGACCTATTCCCAATTATCAAAGGGTCCTCAAAATGTTTGATTTTTATTGGACATTCCCGCAATGTTCACCCAAGGGACCATGGACTTGGCCAAAGCGAAGCAAGCCGCCTTGCACACAACGAAGCTTAGTTCTAGCTGCCGTCCCCTCTACCCCCCGCGCAAAAAATCACACAAACTAGATTCGTGAGCACTAGAAGGAGCTTCCTGCAGACTATCCCCTAAAATATAAACAGGCAAGGGCTTTGCAGCTAGCCTCACCTCGCAGGTAAAAGTAGTCGCCTCACCCTCCGGAATTTGGATGCGCAGATCTGCGATTTTCTGCATCCGAGGACGTGCTCCGGGTCTCCTGCGTCTACTACACTGATGGCCCCATCATGAAATTCGTAGGCATGGGGTATTTTTCGAGCGAAGCGAGGGGTGCGAATCTGCTCAGAGGCATGAAGCTACCGAATCTCAGGGCCGAAGACCCTGGGATTTGGGGGGCTAAGGCCTTTGGGGGACGGGAGGCATGACGCTCATGTTGCCCCGGCTTTTTTCAGACCAAAAGGTTGATTCCTCTGGGGGTGTTCCCCTCCAAAAGTGGTAAATCCTCACTAAAACCGGGGACACCCCCACATGAATAAACCGTGGTGTACTAATCCGGGGTCAACATTACAGCCAAATCTGCATGGCTCTCCAGGGCCGAAGACCTTGGAACTTTCTATCAGATTTCTAGGGATGATGATTGCTTTCTTTGTGAAAAGCTGGCGTTTTCCCAGGCTGGTTCTTCCAAACAGATTCTTGCAATCGGGTTTTCTATCTGAACATCAGCAAACAAAACAAATGTGCCTTTTTCCCCATGGCCGGTAAAGAGCTGGGTGTTAGAGCTAGAGGTGAATCAACTCAGCTTCGGCTCGATGGTTAATCTCTTTTCCGTCTTATCGCAATACACAGAGGGCATGCTTTGTTGATGTGGGTGTTTCTTTTTCGAGGGCACCTTTTTTGTGGTTTCAAAGGACAACCAAAAGGAAAAACACCCCTAAAAAACAAGACACACCCATGTTGAGAGCCAGTAAAATGACCAAGCACCTTAAATGGACAGCGCAAAGGGTACCGACTCTCCGCGTGTCCATGTTGTTGTTGTTTTTCTTCGCATGGATTAAAGAAGCTTCGGCTTCTCTTTAACGGGCACTGTGGACATGGATATGTCGCTCGTTTTTTTTTCTTCTTCCTTTTTTGTTTTGTTTTTGTTCTCCGCATGGATCTTAAAGAGGCTTCGGCTTCTCTTTAGAGAAGCCGGCTTCTCTTTAAAGGGCGCCAGGGGAAATGGGAAAATGGACGATGGATTTTTGCTGTTCGCGAGGGCGGCTGCTGGTGCTGCCGGTGGGCTTCCTGCTGCTGCTGGCGGCCTGGGTGCTGTGCTGGGTGCGGGGCTACAAGGTGCCCTTCGACGCTTGGCGCAGCGATGGCGAGAGCGTGGGAGGGGGGTTGGGCTGGAGGGGGCGAGGGGGGGAGAGGCGGGGGGGCGGGGATGGGGGGGGAGAGTGAGGGGAGAGGGGAGAGGGTGGGGGGAGAGGGGAGGGGGGAGGTCGGTTTTCTAGACATTTGTTCTAGGGATTGTGGGATTTTGTAGGGATTCTTTGCTCTGAAATTCCGAGCCATTTCCCTTTGGAGTGGAGCCCAGGAAAAAGATGCAACTTTTCAGAGGGAAGTCCTAGGCCAAGCAAGAGGCATCAGGCTGAACCTCATGGGTTTCGAAAGGGAAACTGGGGGTAATTTTCCTTTGACCTACCATTCTAGAGTTGACTCCCCATCCAAATCCAGGAGAATGGTCTTCCAGGACCGCTCTGTCAGATTCCATGTCAATTGGTGGGAGGTTTGGTACTCTTCTAGGAGTTGACTCCCCCCATTCTTTTCAGCCACTGTTTTCAACAACCAGCCGTTTTCTCCCGGGTTTCCGGAGTTTTCTACAAAGAAGGATCCCGGGAAAGAATGGACATGGAAGGCACCCTAGATGTGCACCATTGGCTGCTTGAAGGGGCAGGGCATGTCTGGTCAGTGGTTGGTAACCCTGCTTATAACTTACCTAGCTACAGCCAAGACAAGTAAGTTGCCAATTGAAAGTGCGTTCTTTTTTTTGTGGGGTGATGTTTCAATGGGAAACATAAGAATTCGTGGGGAGTAGGGGGAGTAGGAGTATGGGAGTCAGTGAAGGCGCACTTAGTAAGTGGTTGGTATACCTGGTTCGTGTTGACTCTGCGCTTCCAAGTAGGGCAGTTCCGGAGTGTGCCCACGACCATTCTTAAAAAAAAAAAAAAAAACAACAACAACAACATGACACCTCCAACATGATTCACACCTATTTGTGCATGTTCCCCCACCAAGCATATCGATTTTTCGGAAGGGGGGGGGGGGTGGCACTGCGATCCTCGAATGCCAATCAGAAATTCGAGGCGCTGGAGTTTTGCAACGTGTCTAGCTCGGAGTCGCTGTTCAATTTGGACATTAAATTGGACATGGGTCAAAGTTGAACTATCTGGGGCCCGCACGTATTAGCCGATTAGTGTTTCGTTTTGGATCCCTATTTTAACGCCTCCGGCTCAGGCCGCCGACATTACAGGCCTGCTTTCTTATTTGCGTCCCTTTGGAATTGTCCCCTTGCCCCCTTCCCCTCTGAGATTTTTGCCCCCCTTTCTTTGTTGAGATCCATTCCCCCTTTCCGCCCTAAGGCCTTGTCTTCCTCAGATTTTTCCCTTTTCCTCCCTAAGATCCTTTGCCCCCTTTCCCTGTTGAGATCCTTTCCCCCCTTTCCCCCCTAAGGCCTTTTCCCCCCTGAGATCTTCTCCCTTTTCCTCCCTTTCCCCCACTTCCCCCCCTACGGCCTTTTCCTCCCTGGGATCTTTTTCCTTTCCTCCCTGAGATCTTTCCCCCCCTTTCCCTGTTGAGATCCTTTCCCCCCTTTCCCCCCTACGGCCTTTCCCCCCGCTGAGATCTTCTCCCTATTCCTCCTTAAGATCCTTTGCCCCCTTTCCCTGTTGAGATCCTTTCCCCCCTTCCCTTTAAGGCCTTTCCAGATCTTCTCCCTTTTCCTTCCTAAGATTGTTTCCCCCCTTTCCCTGTTGAGATCCTTCCCACCCTTTCCCCCCTCAGGCCTTTCCCCCCCTGAGAGCTTCTCCCTTTTCCTTCCTTAGATCTTTCCCCCCTTTCCCTGTTGGCCTTTTTTCCCCCAGATCTTCTCCCTTTCCTCCCTAAGATCTTTTCCACCCCTTTCCCTGTTGAGATCATTTCTCCCCTTTCCCCCTAAGGCCTTTGTCCCCAGATCTTCTCCCTTTCCTCCCTAAGATCTTTCCCCCCCCCCCCTTTCCCTGCTGAGATCCTTTTCCCCCTTTCCCCCCTAAGGCCTTTCCCCCCCCCTGAGAGCTTCTCCCTTTTCCTTCCTAAGATCTTTTCCCCCCCTGTTGGGCTTTCTTTTTTCCCCCAGATCTTCTCCCTTTCCTCCCTAAGATCTTTCCCCCCCTTTCCCTGTTGAGATCCTTTCCCCCCTTTCCCCCCTAAGGCCTTTCCCCCCCTGAGATCTTCTCCCTTTTCCTCCCTAAGATCTTTTGCCACCTTTCCCTGTTGAGATCCATTCCCCCTTTCCCCCTTTTCTCCCTCTGAGTTTTTCCCTTTTCCTCCCTACGATGTTTTCCCCCCTCTCCCTGTTGAGATCCTTTCCCTCCTTTCCCCCCTAAGGCCTTTTTTCCCCCCGCGATCTTCCCCCTTTTCCTTCCTAAGATCTTTTCCCCCCTTTCCTTGTTGAGATCCTTTCCCGCCCTTTCCCCCCTAAGGCGTTTCCCCCCCAAGATCTTCTCCCTTTTCCTCCCTAAGATCCTTTGCCCCCTTTCCCTGTTGAGATCCTTTCCCCCCTTTCCCCCCTAAGGCCTTTCCCCCCCTGAGATCTTCTCCCTTGTCCTCCCCAAGATCTTTTCCCTTGGTTGAGATCCTTTCCCCCTTTCCCCCCAAGATCTTCTCCCTTTTCCTCCCTAGGATCTTCTCCCACCTTTCCCTGTTGAGCTCCTTTCCCCCTTTTCCCCCTAAGGCATTTTCAGATCTTCTCCCTTTTCCTCCCGAAGATCCTTTGCCCCCTTTCCCTGTTGAGATCCTTTCCCCCTTTCCCCCCTAAGGCCTTTTCCCTGCCTGGGATCTTTTCCCTTTCCTCACTGAGATGTTTCCCGCCCTTTCCCTGTTGAGATCCTTCCCCTCCTTTCCTTCCTAAGGCCTTTCCCCCCGCTGAGATCTTCTCCCTATTCCTCCTTAAGATCCTTTGCCCCCTTTCCCCGTTGAGATCCTTTCCCCCCTTCCCTTTAAGGCCTTTCCAGATCTTCTCCCTTTTCCTTCCTAAGATTGTTTCCCCCCTTTCCCTGTTGAGATCCTTCCCACCCTTTCCCTGAGAGCTTCTCCCTTGTCCTTCCTTAGATCTTTCCCCCCTTTGCCTGTTGGCATTTTTTCCCCCAGATCTTCTCCCTTTCCTCCCTAAGATCTTTTCCACCCCTTTCCCTGTTGAGATCATTTCTCCCCCTTTTTGCCTAAGGCCTTTGTCCCGAGATCTTCTCCCTTTCCTCCCTAAGATCTTTCCCCCCCCCCCTTTCCCTGCTGAGATCCTTTTCCCCCTTTCCCCCCTAAGGCCTTTCCCCCCCCTGAGAGCTTCTCCCTTTTCCTTCCTAAGATCTTTTCCCCCCTTTCCCTGTTGGGCTTTCCCCCCTAAGTCCTTTTCTCCCAGATCTTCTCCCTTTCCTCCCTAAGATCTTCCCCCCCCCCCCTTTCCTCCCTAACATCTTTCCCACCCTTTCCCCTGTTGAGATCCTTTCCCCCCTTTCCCTCCCAAGGCCTTCCCCCCCCCTGAGAGCTTCTCCCTTCTCCTTCCTAAGATCTTTTCCCCCCTTTCCCTGTTGGGCTTTCCCCCCTAAGTCCTTTTCTCCCAGATCTTCTCCCTTTCCTCCCTAAGATAATCCCCCCCCCCTTTCCTTCCTAAGATTGGTTCCCCCCTTTCCCTGTTGAGATCCTTCCCACCCTTTCCCCCCTCAGGCCTTTCCCCCCCCTGAGAGCTTCTCCCTTTTCCTTCCTTAGATCTTTCCCCCCTTTCCCTGTTGGCCTTTTTTCCCCCAGATCTTCTCCCTTTCCTCCCTAAGATCTTTTCCACCCCTTTCCCTGTTGAGATCATTTCTCCCCTTTCCCCCCTAAGGCCTTTGCCCCCAGATCTTCTCCCTTTCCTCCCTAAGATCTTTCCCCCCCTTTCCCTGCTCAGATCCTTTCCCCCCTTTCCCCCCTAAGGCCTTTCCCCCCCTGAGATCTTCTCCCTTTTCCTCCCTAAGATCTTTTGCCACCTTTCCCTGTTGAGATCCATTCCCCCTTTCCCCCCTAAGGCCCTTTCTCCCTCTGAGTTTTTCCCTTTTCCTCCCTACGATGTTTTCCCCCCTCTCCCTGTTGAGATCCTTTCCCTCCTTTCCCCCCTAAGGCCTTTTTTCCCCCCGCGATCTTCCCCCTTTTCCTTCCTAAGATCTTTTCCCCCCTTTCCTTGTTGAGATCCTTTCCCGCCCTTTCCCCCCTAAGGCGTTTTCCCCCCCAAGATCTTCTCCCTTTTCCTCCCTAAGATCCTTTGCCCCCTTTCCCTGTTGAGATCCTTTCCCCCCTTTCCCCCCTAAGGCCTTTCCCCCCCTGAGATCTTCTCCCTTGTCCTCCCCAAGATCTTTTCCCTTGGTTGAGATCCTTTCCCCCTTTCCCCCCGAGATCTTCTCCCTTTTCCTCCCTAGGATCTTCTCCCACCTTTCCCTGTTGAGTTCCTTTCCCCCCTTTCCCCCTAAGGCCTTTTCAGATCTTCTCCCTTTTCCTCCCTAAGACCCTTTGCCCCCTTTCCCTGTTGAGATCCTTTCCCCCTTTCCCCCCTAATGCCTTTTCCCTGCCTGGGATCTTTTCCCTTTCCTCACTGAGATCTTTCCCCCCCTTTCCCTGTTGAGATCCTTTCCCTCCTTTCCTTCCTAAGGCCTTTCCCCCCGCTGAGATCTTCTCCCTGTTCCTCCTTAAGATCCTTTGCCCCCTTTCCCCGTTGAGATCCTTTCCCCCCTTCCCTTTAAGGCCTTTCCAGATCTTCTCCCTTATCCTTCCTAAGATTGTTTCCCCCCTTTCCCTGTTGAGATCCTTCCCGCCCTTTCCCGCCTAAGGCCTTTCCCCCCCTGAGAGCTTCTCCCTTTTCCTTCCTTAGATCTTTCCCCCCTTTCCCTGTTGGCTTTTCTTCCCCCAGATCTTCTCCCTTTCCTCCCTAAGATCTTTTCCACCCCTTTCCCTGTTGAGATCATTTCTCCCCTTTCCCCCCTAAGGCCTTTGTCCCCAGATCTTCTCCCTTTCCTCCCTAAGGCCTTTCCCCTTCTCCCTTTTCCTTCCTAAGATCTTTTCCCCCCTTTCCCTGTTGGGCTTTCCCCCCTAAATCCTTTTCTCCCAGATCTTCTCCCTTTCCTCCCTAAGATCTTCCCCCCCCTTTCCTCCCTAAGATCTTTCCCACCCTTTCCCGGTTGAGATCCTTTCCCCCCCATCTTTTCCCCCCTTTCCCTGTTGGCCTTTTTTCACCAGATCTTCTCCCTTTCCACCCCTTTCCCTGTTGAGATCATTTCTCCCCTTTCCCCCCCAAGGCCTTTTTGCCCCAGATCTTCTGCCTTTCCTCCCTAAGATCTTTCCCCCCCCAGTTCCGTGTTGAGATCATTTATTTCCCCCCTTTTCCTGCTAAGGCCTTTTCCCACCCTCAGTTCTTCTCCATTTTCCTCCCAAAGATCTTTCCCCCCCTTTCCCCCCTAAGTCCTTTTCCCTTGAGATCTTCTCCCTTTTCCTCCCCTAAGATCTGTTGCCACCTTTCCCTGTTGAGAGCCTTTCCCCCCTTTCCCCCCTAAGGCCCTGTTTTCTCCCCCCTTTCCTTGTTGAGATCCTTTCCCCCCCTTTCCCCCCTAAGGCCTTTTCCCCCCAAGATCTTCTCCCTTTTCCTCCCTAAGATGTTTTCTCCCTTTCCCTGTTGAGACCCTTTCCCCCCTTTCCCCCCTAAGGCCTTCTCCCTTTGCCTCCCCAAGATCTTTTCCCCCGGTTGAGATCCTTTCCCCCTTTCCCCGCGAGATCTTCTCCCTTTTCCTCCCTAGGATCTTCTCCCACCTTTCCCTGTTGAGCTCCTTTCCCCCCTTTCCCCCTAAGGCCTTTTCAGATCTTCTCCCTTTTCCTCCCTAAGATCCTGAGATCCTTTCCCCCTTTCCCCCCTAAGGCCTTTTCCCTGCCTGGGATCTTTTCCCTTTCCTCACTGAGATCTTTCCCCCCCTTTCCCTGTTGAGAGGCCTTTCCCCCCCTGAGATCTTCTCCGCCTCTTTCCCCCTTTCCTCCTTTCCCCCCTTAAGGCCTTTCCAGATCTTCTCCCTTTCCCCCCTTTCCCTGTTGAGATCCTTCCCACCCTTTCCCGCCTAAGGCCTTTCCCCCCCTGAGAGCTTCTCCCTTTTCCTTCCTTAGATCTTTTTCCCTGTTGGGCAGATTTTTTTTCTTTCCTCCCTAAGATCTTCCCCCCCCTTTCCTCCCTAAGATCTTTCCCACCCTTTCCCGGTTGAGATCCTTTCCCCCCCATCTTTTCCCCCCTTTCCCTGTTGGCCTTTTTTCCCCAGATCTTCTCCCTTTCCTCCCTAAGATCTTTTCCACCCCTTTCCCTGTTGAGATCATTTAAGGCCTTTTTGCCCCAGATCTTCTGCCTTTCCTCCCTAAGATCTTTCCCCCCCCCCCCAGTTCCTTGTTGAGATCATTTATTTCCCCCCTTTTCCTTCTAAGGCCTTTTCCCACCCTCAGTTCTTCTCCATTTTCCTCCCAAAGATCTTTCCCCCCCTTTCCCCCCTAAGTCCTTTTCCCTTGAGATCTTCTCCCTTTTCCTCCCCTAAGATCTTTTGCCACCTTTCCCTGTTGAGAGCCTTTCCCCCCTTTCCCCCCTAAGGCCCTGTTTTCTCCCCCCTATCCTTGTTGAGATCCTTTCCCCCCCTTTCCCCCCTAAGGCCTTTTCCCCCCAAGATCTTCTCCCTTTTCCTCCCTAAGATGTTTTCCCCCCTTTCCCTGTTGAGACCCTTTCCCCCCTTTCCCCCCTAAGGCCTTCTCCCTTTGCCTCCCCAAGATCTTTTCCCCCAGTTGAGATCCTTTCCCCCTTTCCCCGCGAGATCTTCTCCCTTTTCCTCCCTAGGATCTTCTCCCACCTTCCCTGTTGAGCTCCTTTCCCCCCTTTCCCCCTAAGGCCTTTTCAGATCTTCTCCCTTTTCCTCCATAAGATCCTTTGCCCCCTTTCCCTGTTGAGATCCTTTCGCCCTTTCCCCCCTAAGGCCTTTCCCCCCCTGAGATCTTAAGGCCTTTTCCGCCCCTGAGATCTGCTCGCTTTTCGATCCTTTCCCCCCCTTTCCCCCCCAAGGTCTTTTGTCGCTGAGATCATATTCCCTTTTCCTCCTTTTTCCTCCCTAAGATGTTTTCCCGCCATTCCCTGTTGAGATCCTTTCCCCCCCTTTCCCCCCTAAGGCCTTTGTCCCCAGATCTTCTCCCTTTCCTCCCTAAGGCCTTTCCCCTTCTCCCTTTTCCTTCCTAAGATCTTTTCCCCCCTTTCCCTGTTGAGATCCTTTCGCCCTTTCCCCCCTAAGGCCTTTCCCCCCCTGAGATCTTAAGGCCTTTTCCGCCCCTGAGATCTGCTCGCTTTTCGATCCTTTCCCCCCCTTTCCCCCCCAAGGCCTTTTCCCCCTGAGATCATATCCCTTTTCCTCCTTTTTCCTTCCTAAGATGTTTTCCCGCCATTCCCTGTTGAGATCCTTTCCCCCCCTTTCCCCCTAAGGCCTTTCCCTTCTGAGATCTTCTCCTTTTCCTCCCTAAGAGCTTTTCCCACCTTTCTTTATTGAGATCCTTTCCCCCCTGTCCCCCCGAAGGCCTTTTCGCACCCTGATTTCCTCTCCCTTTGCCTCCCTAAGATCTTTTCCCCCCTTTCCCGCTTAAGATCCTTTCCCCCGTTTCCCCCCTAAGGCCTTTTCCCCCCAAGAGCTCCACCCTTCTCTTCCCAAAGTCTTTTTCCCCCTTTCCCGTTTGAGATCCTGTCCCCCCATTGCCTCTTAGGGCCTGTTCCCCCCAAGAAAGATTTCCCTTTTCCTCCCAAAGATCTTTTCCGCCCTTTCCCCCTTAAGGCATTTTTTCCCCAGATCTTCTCCCTTTCCTCCCTGGGATCTTTCCCCCCCTTTCGCTGTTGAGATTTTTTCCGCCTTTCCCCCCTTGATTTCCTTCACCAGCATGGGCAACATCCCCAGCATCACTTGCATCATCCGCATCCTTGGCAGGCGCTGATGCGGATGATGCAGGTGATGCTGGCGATGTGCCGCTGGAGCTGCTGAGGATGCGAAAGCGCACCCGGGGGGAATCGAACACCCCAATGTTTTTGACAAACTAAGCCCGCACAATGAACAGATTTAGTGAAGCGTCTTCGAATCACCTGGTACGTGGACCCCCCCCCCCGCAATAGTCTGAAGAGGGGTTCGGGGAGGGGTAACAGGTAAAGAGGTAAGGAGCATTTTTTGTGTCCAACACGCTGTCTGTTGTCGGCGGATTTTTGACCCACAGCCTTTTGAAGTTTGCAATACAAAAACAAATGTGCGACGCCGGTCTTTGAGCATGCAGCTTTGATCCTGTTTTGGAGAGCCCAGCTAGTCTTTGTGCCCGGATGGCCCCACTTAGTGTCCTTTTGGACACAAAGGGCTTGTCCATAGCTAAAGATGATCAACCTTTGCTCGCTGAGCAACGATTTCTTGGAAAGGGGGAAGGAATGACTCTGCTCCTTGGATGCGTAAGAGGACATCGAGGCAGGCTGGCACTGGGGGGCTCACGGACGCAGGCAGTAGCTGATGCATTCCTTCAATGTAATTTTGGTCTAAGGCCGGAGCGCAGGGATTTCAGGCAGCCTGCCAACTCCGACATTCGCGCTCGCGGAGTCCAACTCTGCGTGGCAGGATGTGCAACACGACACAGGAACAATCTCCAGCTTGGCCCTGGTCCTTGTCGCTTGACCCCGTGGTTTCGTCTGCGAACGTCTGCGGCGCGTCTTCTAAGCCGCGTCTTCGGCTTGGGCCGAGGACACCTTCGTCAACTTCAACGGCATGATGATCTTCTCGCTCTTCATCGCGCCCTGAAAGAAACGCACGGGGAGTTCATTGAACTGAGAGGGGGTCGTCCTCATTGACCCCTTTGGGGGGCCACTTCTGGATAAACCTGTTCGAACAAATGATGAGCTGTCGGTCTTGCAGCCACACCCTCGATTTTTTTTTGGTCACTGGAGTGCTGGCTCTTTTTCGTTGGTCGTGATGGTCCCCTTCTGCTTTGTAGCGAAACCCGCTCCTTTCGCCTTTTGGGCTCCCAGTACATCCGTTTTGGGATCCCTTTTAGGCTCCCTTTTTTCCGGTCTGGCAAAGGAACTTTTTCCTTTCTAGTTCTCATCCACCGGCAACGCGCTTTTTTTGCGCAGGAGAAAAGGGTCAAATCGGGATCAACGGTGTGCTGGGCTGGGCACCGAGTCGATCATGTGCTCGAGGAACTGATGGGGGGAGGGGCCATCTTGTCTTATTTGTCGCATAGGGAGTCACCGAACATAAGAGCGCTGTGATTTTGAACCGAATTACCCTGCTATCGTTTTCGCTTTTCCCTTAGGGTACCATTTTGTGGTGTCATCAGGGAAATCAACAGGACACCGCCCAAGCTTTTTTTGGGTACACCACTTCGGGTCAAAATGGATAACCTGGCCAATTCTGTTGGTTCACTTGAGGTCCTTGAGCGGCTCAAAAAGGGGGGGTGCCCAAAGTAGTCGAAGCATCGCTCACTCCCTGAGTTCCCTGACTTCAGACAATTGTTGGGTTTGGACCATGGCAAGCAACAAGTTCGGACTTTTTTCCGGCGAATCCACTCAGGAAGTGAGACTGAATTTCAATCAGGAAACGGTTCTTGGAAGTGGTTGGTGGACATAACTTTCTATATCCATAGTTGATGTCCGAGGGTCCCTAGTCAAGAGTTCAAACCCAGATCCCCCTTTGTCTGGCAATTTGTTTCGGCATGGCGTAGCCTCCCCTCTGTCCAAGTTGTTCGCTGGAACCTTCAGTTCGGGGTCACGTTTCCTTTCGGGGTGCCAAGACTCAGCCGTAGCTCTCAGTCCGGTTTTGCTCTCGCAGTGCTCCAGGCGTTCAGTTCTTGAAAGTGGATCTGTCTTTTTGGGAGGGTACCCTTTTGCTTGGGTCCACTAAAAACAGAAACAGGCCCAAGATGGCGTTCGACTCCCCCTGGGCATATACCTCACCATCGACTCCCGGAACTCCGCTGCATGGGAAGTCCCTTGGGTGCGTCTTTTTTTCGATGTCTTGGAGCCCCAATGGGGGCGCTTTGGCTTGGCCAAGTTGTTTCAAGCGCACCTGGCTTTGCCAATGGCTTTCTTGGCTAGGTCCCCCAGCCAGGTGCCCTTTGACCAACCTTTTTTGGCGGCATTTGTTTGCGGCATTCGTCGTTGCTTCCCTTGAGTCAGTTTTTTTTTCACAAGCAGAGGAATACGTTCAAGTCCAATTTTGACAGTTTTCAGGGTGCCCTGTTAATTTATTATTGATGGAAACTGCAACTCAGTTGCCCAAAGTCGACCTTTTGACCTTTTGCAGGGTTTGGGCAATATTTGGTGAAGGTGAGAACGGGTTAGCCTTTTATTTTGGGTCCTTTGGGCAACTGGGAAAAGGAAAGCCAAACAAGTTGGGGTGCACATCCACTGCTTCCATCTGGTCATTGAATATTTGTTTGTCTTCCCCTGTTGGTTTGAAAGGGAACGGATTTCACTACTGGACATGTTCTCATCTTTTCGAGGGGACCACTTATGCAAATGGAGGACGAGTCTGGTCGAGCTGCCAGCAGGCGCTGACGCTGACCGTGGTGTCGCCCCTGCGCTGCGTGCCGAACCCCGACGGGACCGGGCGCCCAGATTCCGCGGTTGCGCGCGGTTCGGCGGTTTTCTCCGCGCGCCTGCGGTTTTCGGGGTCAGATTGACTTGAGACGGAGGGGCGGGCACGGGTTGCAAGATGCCAATGGGTACCTCTAACAGCACCCCCCCGAAAAGCGTCCCAAACAGCACCCGGCTGTCAATCTCGCAACAATGCGCCGCCTCAAAATAGCACCTGTACCAGCACCCCAATGCACCAGCACCCAAACTGCATGCCGTAGCACCCTCAATCTTGCAACACCACCTCAAACACTAGCACCCCAAACAGCAGCAGCACCAGCACCCCAAACTGCACGCCCACTAGCACCTAGCCGTCAATCTCGCAAATCACTTTCCCGTATTTAATAGAAGTTAGAACCCCTGTAGCTTTCAGCTATCCGGGGAAAAGACACACCCATTCCTAGCCAAAAACAAAGATGTGCGAAGATCCACTGGACATGGATTTGGATAGACCTTACCGAGTTTTGATTGCTCATTTGGGTGTGCCTTTGAGTGGGGATTCATCACTTTTGGGAAGGGAACCGGAGAAAAATATATGGGGTTCCCAACAGACCAGCCTTTTTACAGGGGACTCCACTTGCAAAACCTTTTCGGGTTGCATTCAACAAGCCGGCTACCAGCGGCATTTGTTTCGGTTCTTTTCCTCAAGGTGCATGGAATCCACATGCCGAAACGTGTTTTGAGGGTACGCATTTGTTGTGGCTTGCAAGGGAAAACCAAAAGGAAAACCACCAGTTTTGTGGGTGCCCAAAAACAAGTACCCCCTATGAATCAACCAGGGGGGGTTATTCATCCGTGGTTTCCCTTCTTTGGGGCTCCATGCGACTTTGAGCGGGGCAGCAAACCGGCATGTGGGCGTGCCGAGTTCAAGCGAACCAACCCCTCCTTGGGATGTTGAAAAAGACACCAAAAAGAAACGCCCAAGTGGCCCAAGTGGGTTTATTTATTGAGGCTACTCAGTTTTTTTCCGGTGTTGAAATGGCAGCCACAAGGAGCAGTACCAATTAGGGGGTCCAAATCGACCTCCAGGCCAAACAGCACATTTCTCTTGGGGTCCAAATCCTACCAGGGCGTGTTTTTTTGTTGAGGCTCGGTACCCACTTTTTGGGGTGGGTCCAAAGGGAGACCAAAAGGACAACCACCATTTGTTGCGGGGGTGGGCGCAACCACTTTTTCGTTTTGAGACACCAAAGGGACCACCGAAGTCCCATTTTTGTTCGGGGGTCCAAAGCCGTGATCCGCACACCACAAATCTCAAAATTCCAAAAACAAATGGACAAAAATCACCCCCCCTCTACCCCCCCCTGCCCCCCCCCTCCCCCCCCCTCCTCTACCCCCCCCTCCCCCCCCCTGCCCCCCTACCCCCTCCTATCCCCCCCTCCCCCCTCTACCCCCTCCTACCCCCTCCTACCCCCTCCTACCCCCTGCCCCCCCCCTCCTATCCCCCCGCTACCCCCCTACCCCCAAAGAAATTCGCCGCACCCGCCCGCCTTTTGCCAGGAGCCGCTCCGTGGCGGACCAGCGGAGCGTGCTGTGCTTCGAGTCCGAGGAACGGAGCCCTTGGAGTCGACCCCATGTCAGTCCCAAGCGAGCCACCCAGACCATGGTTGTTTTTCCTATCATGTTTCATGTTTTTTTTTTTTTTTTTTTTTTTTTTTTTAAGTTTTTTTAGAAGGGAATCCATTTTGTCTCAGTTGGTTCCCAGAAATCGGTGCATGTAGTCCCACGCCTAAGCGAGCCCACGCCCAGACCCCCAGTCCCCTTGGAGTGTGAACCACGTGAACTGAATAGATCGTTTTCAGGTTGCCCGGTGGGGAGTTTTTTTAAGAAGGGGATCCGTTTTGTCTCAGTTGGTTCCCAGGAATCGGTGCGGAACATCAAATTGGAAGTAGCTTCGGTTACCTGGGTAGCCTGTGAAAGCTGAAGAAGCCAAGCCAACTTCGGCAGGTGATCTCTGACTTGTCCAAAGCAAATCGACCTTACCTTTGGATTTTCCCCGTTTGGTGGATGTTTGGTCTAGGATCCAGGTAAACTTTTTGTCCAGGCCCTTTGGGCAAGTGAGCTGTGGAATTTGATTGGTTCCTTTATTTTCTTCGACCAGTGCTGATCTGTTCGATGTTTTTTGTTTCTGATTCTCTGATTCGTTTGCTCTTCTGCTTGTCGGTTTGATTTTTTCGCTTGTGTGTTCCGTTTTTTGGGTCAGTTCATTTCGTCGTTTTTATCTGTGGTCGTTTTTGCTTTTTAAACAACAAAAGATCAGAACGTCTTCCTGCGTCGGCTCTTCCATTTCCTGCAGACATGTGGAGCCGAGCCTGCCTTTTTTTCTGCACGAGTCAAGCTCAGGGGGCAAAAGGAAGGTGGGTCTGGAGCTGCTTGCTTTTCGGAAAGTCGGACTTGGGGAAGACGTTCTGTTTGATTTGCCGGGATTTTTTTCCCTCCATATTTTGCGTATGCGAAAAGAGGGCCGGAGGGGAAGCTGACCGAAACTTGATGTTAAGCTCCTTGGCTCGAAGGGAAATCAAAGGTGAAGTCCCCGCCATTTTGGGGGTCCCCCATTTTGATACCCACCCCTTCAGTGGGAGTTGTTGTTTTTCTTTTTCAATCACTCAGTGGGGATTCCTTTTTTCTAGAGGTTTACCCTCCCACCCTTTTTACATAGAACCTGACATTCGGGGATCCCTTTAAAAGGAACATGGTCCAGGACCCTCGAAACGTCAGGTTTCATGTTAATTAGTAGGATAATCATCAGGTGTCCTGGCATCCTTTCCCGACACCTGGCAAGTGAAACCTTGAGCAAGGTGAGAGGCTTGTCTCGTGTCACATGTGAAACTCTCGGCCGCGCTGCCGTTGGCTGTGTTACTCACTGTTATTTTGTTGGTTCTTTGGTTTGTTGTTTGGTTCTGTCCATTTTTGGTGGGCTGCCAACTTTTTTTTGCAAGCCCATATTAAGGGTTGGAAAGCTCGGGAACCAACATATGCATCTCCGGCTAGCACATTGCTCTCACCCATGCTGCGAGTTTGGCCGATGCCAACAGTGCGCTGAACTTAATTTCCTTGCATGTCTTTTAGTCTTTCTTTGTTTCTTCTCATTTTCAGTCTGCAAGAACCACAGTGCGTTGCCATGCCAAACACTGGAGAGATGAACACATCTCATACGGGTATGTCGTGTTTTTTGAGGGGACCCCCCCCAAAAAAAATGGTCGGTTTCCTTTTGGCTTCAATTGAAAACCAGCCAAAAGTGGCACCCTGAAGAAAAGGCAGATTCATATCAAGCTCAAACCTGTTAAAGTTCTGCGGACCTGAAAAAGGCCTGACTTCTTTGACGCAACGCGGGTCACAATCCAAAGAACGAATGGGGCTCTCTCTCTCTCTCTCTCTCAAAACTATGGACCGTCCTGAAAGCCGCCCCAGAGAAAAAAACGTGTTTTTTTTTTTTTAATGAGGCGCCTCCAATTTGTGGCTGGGACTACGTTTCTTCCATTTGCTGAAGTGTTTTTTCTTATTATTCCCCTGTTGGTCTAGGACTCTATCACTGGACATATTGCCTCATTTTGTCAATGCAGAAAAAATGGAAGGTTCCTGCAGCTTAGAGTCTGTGTCATGAGGAGCACTGGACCATGGTGGCTTTGTCCATCACCGGCATCATTATGTACCCCGCCGCTCGAACTGGAACTGCAAGCGAATGGATCGAGTGGAAAAAGGTGGTGTTTTACTCTCGAGGTCCATTTCGGACTTTAGTCACTTTTTGGGTTTGGATATGGGTGTGGCTCAAGAAACCGGTACCAAAATGGAACCCTGGTAAGTGGAAACATGGACCAAAACCCACGTAACCCCTCCTGTTTAATTTTGAGCCACAGCCCCAAACCACCGAAAGTTTCAGGCTGGTGAAATATTATAATTCACCCAAATATCATTTTGGTGTTAAATGAGAAGTTCAGACTTGCGCCAATCCAAAAGGGTGTGTTTCCAGCAACCACTTGGTGTTTCTGGAGGCTCAGCCAGTTTTTGTTTGTTGGGGTGATTCGGGTGAGGTTTTGGAGAAGGGCTGACAGAAGGGGCGGAGCGGCATGTACGTGGGCCATGCACCTGAAGCTTTGGAAGGTTCTAAACTGGACTTGTCTTTGAAGTTTGGGGCCCTTTTTCGAGTCCAGTTGGAAGCCAAACGGAAAAACCGAAGCCACTTTGGGCCGTGCCGATCCCTATGAGAAGCCTCAACTTGACCACAGCCCCACCTGGAAGTTTCCGCCATGCAGAAAATGCAACGATTTCTGCGGTTTTGCCGAGGTCGAACCTGAATCTTTTTTGGTCTTCGAAAGGGGTCATCCCAGGGTGTAGAGCTATGGCCTTAAGTTGGTAGTTGGTTGGCCAAATCTTCAGATAGCGGTCAAAACATGTTCGCCATCAAGGTCCCTTTGAACGGTGGCGAGAAAGCGTACCACAGACAGTGACCCCTTTGCATGAGGGGGGGGGGGGGTCTCAGGTCTTTTCAAAGGGCCAAGTGTGATGCGAGGTGGCCATCCTTGCGTGGGCGACCTACGCCACCATCACCTACCCCCAGCGCATGAATTCCCCCGCGGGGATTCGCTTCATCACCCGGTACCGCTTCTTCTTCCAGCGCTTCAAGCGCGGGGGGGGGGGGAGGGGGGTGATCGATCGAGCGCGTGCTTCCATTTGCTAAGGATTCGGTTTTTTTGGCTCCCCCGTTTGGGCTTTAAGGGAACCAGTCACTACTGTTGATTTTGTTTTTTCAGGGGGCTTAAACACATGCAAGCTTAAAGATGGGAGGGGTCTTTGAGGGGAGGTTGTGCTTCGACCCTTGACATAGTGCGTGGGAAGGGAGTAGTGAGGGATCGTTTGATAGACCAAAAGGGAACCTCGCACATGTGCTACTGTTAATGCCGAAAAGTACCGGACAAATACCAGATAAATCAAGAAAGTACAAATTGACTGGACAAAGAGGCAGCAAATTTGAACGATATCCCTTCTGAACAGTGTCCCTCCCTTCACACATGATATTGAGTGTTTAGTAGTGCTGCACAAAGGACTACTAAAAGCTGGATTGTTTTTTGTTGAACCCGGTGGCCGCGGCAGAACAAGGTGCTTTGGGACAATGGTGGCAGTCACGTCAAGAATACTGCAGCCTTTCTCAAGCACATGATAAATCCCCGTGCGCGCCACATCGCAAGTTTCCTTTCTGTGTTCCTTTGCGCCACTTGGGGGCGCCATTGTTTGTGGGGATACCATTCTGGTTCAGGGCTGTGGGAAATGGAATCCACTTCTGTGATACAACAAACAGGGCTTCCCAAAGACGAACCCCCCATATAAAGGGGGAGATTCCCTTGTATCGCAGAAGTGGGGAAAAACCCCTTGATCCCACAACCCTGTTCTGCTTGGTTTGGTTCAAAGCGAACCTCATATCCGAAGAGTTTTCACCGGTTTTCGCCGGGCCGCTTCCATCAGCCTGGGCCTTTTGAGTCGATCCAAATTTTTTCTCAGCTCTTTCACCTCGAAAAAAACAAACACCGGGCCAACTGGAAGCGGGCAAATGCCACAGCTTCCTAATTTTAGTTTCCGAAACCAAAGAAAGGCTAGCAACTCAGAGCCAACACCTCAAGAAGACCAATCAACCTTCAGGCTGCCCTTTTCACGGTGGCTCTCCTTTTGGCTTCCCTTCAAAATCACCACCCCCAAGGTTTCGAACCCCACAAAACAGCGGCGGCTCCCGCCCCCGACCGCCCCAACCGCCCCATGGCGCCGGTGGCCTCGGTGGCTCCGCCGCCGGCGGCTCTCGCGCCCTGGGCGCTGCACGCGCCCGAGGGCCTCCGAAACGAGGCCGCGCGCGCCGCGGCGGCGGAGCGGCTCCGGAGCGAAGCGGCGGTCGTCGTTTTTGATGCGTCGGGTGGATGCGGGCGTGGGGTGGGTGTGAAGGGTCGTGTGTGTGTGTGTGTTTATATATATTTTAACCGGGGACAGCCGGTTCCAAGTTGTTTTAAGGTTTTGAGAGGTTCGGGTTTTCAGTGGGAGTTTTTTTTTGTTGGTTTAGTGGTAGTTTTCACACGGGGATCGAAGGGGAGCAGCCATAGCTTTTCGGAGACCAACGACCGCCTTTGGAGATTTGGACACTGGTCGATTTTTCTCTTTTTGAGGCTCGGTACCCGAAAGGTGAACCCACCCATTTTGGGGGGTCCCCCAAAAACGACACACCCATATTTTTGTAGATATTAGATAGATCTCTAGACATATGGGTATAACACAAATCAGCGCCTTGTGATTTTATTCTCGCGATGCAGTGTGTTTTTCGCGCTCATCTCTGGCATTTGTTCGCCTTTTCATGGACCGCTCCCCATAGCCACCCTTGGGGTCCATGACTAAACTTATCAACCATACCTAGGTCCCCCAGTAGTGCCCTTTTACCCTTTTTTGGGGGGAGGGTTCCCCTACTAAGATAGACTACAGAAAAAAGGGTACCCTTATTCTAACCTTCTCTGCTGGAGGACCTAGATACATTTGCTTTCTTACTTGCCGGCTGACTTTGATACTGGTTGAACCCCTGGTTGATGTTCCCCATAGCCCCCCCTCAGTCCATGAAAACTAGGTGCCCAAACCGTTGCCCTGGTAATAACCAGCTTGGCGATTGCGACTACATAGCCAAGGACTAAACTTCACAGTCGTTGGCATCTTTTTGTTTGTTTGCTTTTGGTTCTGTTCATTTTCAGTGGGGCACCATACCAAGGGTCTTTAAAACGTGTCCTTCTCGGTACTTAAAGGGGCGATCGGGTACTTAGTAAGTGGTTAGTAAACCTGCTTCTAACCCACTGGACGGAGACAGTGAGTGGGTGAAAAATGCTGCTTACTACCTACTTACCAAGCAGAATGCCGTGACAATGCCTCTTTAAGTGGTAACTTTACGTTGACTCCATATTATTCATTATGAATCAACCCCAGTTCATGAAGAGGGGTACCCGGCGGGTTTTTGGTTCTCTTCATTTTTTGGGGAAGGGTTGATGAACATAGGTGTCCTTTTTGGTTGTTTTGGCAGAAACATAGATGGCGATTCCTGGTTTACCTGGTGGGTTAGTCATCTACCAGGGAAACCCATCTATTTGCCCTAAAAGGACGCCTATGTTGGTGATATTATTATGAATAGTTTATGAACAGGGGTGCCAGGGCGGGTTTTTGGTTCTCTTCATTTCAGAGTCAGGGTGGGTGAACTAGGTCTCCCAGTAGTGCCCTTTTCCCCGCATTTTTTTGGGGAGGGTTCCCCTACTAAAATAGACTACAGAAAAAAGGGTACCCTTATTCTAACCTTCTCTGCTGGAGGACCTAGATACATTTGCTTTCTGGTTGATGTTCGGCCGTATTCCCTCCCCATAGCCCCTCCTCAGTCCACGATTTTTCTTGGGGTTCTTTGTTTTTGATGACATGTTTCCGGTTCTTTTCTGTTTGTGATTTCGCGGTTTGGGTGTCGTTGATGACACGGTTCCCTAAAAGGACACCTATGTTGGTGAATCAACCCCCAGTTTATGAATGGGGCTGCACCCGGATTGTGGTTCTCTTCATTTTTTGGGTCAGGGTTGATGAACATAGGTGTCCTTTTTGGTTGTTTTGGCCGAAACATAGATGGCGATTCCTGGTTTACCTGGTGGTTTAATCATCTACCAGGGAAACCCATTGACTTTGATACTGGTTGAACCCCTGGTTGAACCCATTGACTAGATGGGTCGTGGGTGATCTGCTTCAGGACCTTCGGCTTCGTCCACCTCCTCGGCGCCTGCTGCGCCGCTGCCGCGCTGCGCGCGGCCGCGCGCCGGGCGGTCCAGCGCCTGGCGCGGGCGCGGCACCGCGCGGCGCGGCTGGGCCTGGGGCCGCTGGCGCCCTGGGCGCGGCCCAAGCCGCGGAAGCGGCCGGGCAACCTCTTCCGCTTCCAGGCGGGTGGGTGGGCTCCAGTGTTGTTTCTCTCTTTTTTTTCTGACTACCAGGTGGAAGGTCTCATCCCCTGGTAGTTCTTGTGCTTCTTTTTTTGGGGGGGGGTCAGACACCCAGTGGCCCATCCCGTCCCCTTTGTTCAAGATCCAGTTGGAAGGTGGCCCATCCCGAGCCCGAATGTTGTTCAAGGCTCTTTTTTTTTGAAGGGGTACCCCTGAATCGCTTCCAGGCTTCTTTTTTTGATTTGGGGGTTACTTCTGTGATACAAGGGCGCAAAAACCCCTTTGTAAATGGGGTAGTCTTTGGGAGGCCCTTGCCTCCAGGAGTGTAAGGTTGCCACGCATCCAGGCCTTTAGGGTTTTTAGTTGTCTTTGAGTGGCTGGGTTTCCAATTTTTGGTTTAGTGGAGTGTAATAGGAGTCTGGTTCCCTCCCAGTGGATCCCGCCCCGAATTGTTCAACGATCTTTGTTTGGGAAGGGTTCCCCTTAACCTCAACCAAACAAAAACAGGATGGCCACTTGGCAACCAGGCATCCGGTTCCTTAGGGTTTGAGTGATTTGTCTATGGTTTAGAGGTTGGGTTTCCGAATTTTAGTTGGTTTAGTGGAGTGCAAGGTTCGCCTGCCTCCGGTTCCTTAAACGGTTTTTGGTGTTTTTAGTTAGTTTAGCGGTTGGGTTTCCGAATTTAGCCCACAAGTTAAAACCTTTAGCACAGGAGCCCAGCGAAAGGAGTGTAAGGGCGAACTTGGTTTGACGTTTTTTCAACAGCTGTCGGCTATGGGGGCCAGAAAGGCTCTGGGGTCTTTTCAGCTTTCAGGGAGGGTTCCGGAGGGTTCCGCGGCTGTTGGGGATATCACTTGGGCTTATCTTTTTCGTTGCCGTAGGGTGGGGGGAAGGAATGCATAAGACTATGTATATATATATATATATACAGATATGTGTATACACATAAACATCTATTTCAGCTTCTTGGAGTTTTGGGTTTCGTGTTCGGGTTTTGTTTTGGGAACGGGGGGTAGCGAGGGAGATACTATATATATATATATATAGAGAGAGAGAGAGAGAGTGCATTTGTTCCACTCCGGGAATGGGGTTCCGGGAGCTTTGGGTTCTGTTGCTTTCTTTGTTGGGGAGAGCCTGGGTTTGTTGTTTGTTTTGCCTTGGGAAGCTATAGTATGTGTATATATATATATATACATACACATGGTATGACACTATTGAAGAGCAAACTAATGGATGTTGGTAGGCTTTTTGGGGAATATGTAGGTTTTGGAGGGGGGATCAGCATATATATATATATACACACATTTGTTCGGCTTCTCGAGGGGATCCGATCGCCGACCAGACGGGGATCGCCTCACGCCAAAAACCTGATTCAGAGGACATCATAGTTTCGGGCTTATTCTTCCCAGTAGAAACAAATTCCCTTCCCAAACCGGCCAACTTGCCCACCGCCCAATTTGGGGCTTCCGCACCTTTTTCAACGCTCTTTCTTACCGAGAAGGAGTACCCTCAGAAACCACACACCCATGTGTCTCTCTCTCTCTCTCTCTAAATGTAATACATGTATTACAAATGTGTATATATATATATACATATATATATATATATATATATACATTTATATATATATATACATATATATATATATACATATATATATATACATATATATATATATACATATATCTAGCAGGCCACTCACCTCTACACAAAGCACGAAGGAGGCGGTGTCTTTCTCCAGCGGGCGCCTGGACATGCGTATCGCTTCCCCGGAAGATGAAGGCCCCCTGGCGGTGCAGCAGGAGCTGCTGCAGCTGGGCGAACTGCTGTGCCTCGGTGCGGTGCACCTCAGGGAGACCGGGTTCCCCAGAATTTTCGGGCACTCCTCAGTTGGTGGTTTGAGTGGAAGTAGATACTGCACTTGTTTTCTGTTGACACTTTCTCCCAGGCACTCCGGAAGTTGGCGGATGGTTTGGATTTGGATTTGAGCCCCGGAAACTGCCCTTAGCCACCAAACCACCGTGCCAAGTTGAAGAGTGGTTCATAGAAGCCTTTCGATCAGAACCCCCAAAAAAGGTTGCAAGGGCTCTTCTTGCTTCTTGGGGTTGCTAAGGGGGGGGGGACCCTGGGTTGTCCCCCAAAACCAAAGCTGCAGCTTGTTGCAAAAGTGGTTACCCGTTTGGAGCAAGGCTTCGCGCCTCTAAGCCTCGACTTGGACGAACTGGGCTCGACTTGAAACCTGGCGCTTGGGAGGTTTCGGGATGTCCGATTGTTGCGATGACAACTCCCGGCATGTCTTGCGATGCTGGATTTTGGTCATAGCCTCCGGGATTTGTGTGATTCGGTGAACGAAACACCCGGCTGAAAACGCCAGAGGCGACTCCAATTCTTGGGCTGTGGTGGGGCGAGTCGGGCGAGTCGGGAAACCGGCGTAGAGAAAGCAGGCGGAAGCGTCGTTTTTCTCACTTTTTTGGGACCCTTTTCTTTCAGCTTCCCTTTAACAAAACCAACTTGAGAAGGGTATCTCACGAAAAGAGAGACCCTGATCTCTTGAGCTGCCCGGAATTCCGCCTTAGATCCTTCGACGGCGCGTAGCCAAGGCGCTAAATGCATTTGGTATGACCACACAATCGCCTTTTTACGGGGAGTTTGTATTTGTTTTGCTCGCTCAATGATCGAGTATAGTGGCCCGCTGAGTCGGCGTGTATAGGTACTCCAGGGGCATATGACGCTCCAAAAATGGGCTGATTTGTAGGTAAGCTTGGTTTCCGTTTGAAGCCACCAATTCATCTGGAGCTGCGAAAGGTACCACGCTGCTGACCCTTTCTCTGAACTGACCCCAAGGCTCCGTTTGATGCTCCGTCCCTTCAAGAGAGAGGGCGTGTCATGCCAGGCTCGCACCTGGAACGGTTGACATCCCGCCCCAGAAAAAAAGAAATAAAACAGACATCACATTTGACATCCCCCCAAAACAAAAAAGAAAGACAACATGTTTGGACATCCCCCCCCAAACAAAAAAGAAGACATAACATAAATGTACAGCATCTTTTTTATACGACAGAACAAACAAAATACAACAAAACAAGACATAAAAAAAAAAAAAAAAAAAAAAAAAAAAAAAAAAACATAACATCCAGCAGAACTCAACTCTGTTGCCCACTTCGTTCAGCCCCTCACCGGCAGAAACCCCTCGCTCGCTGAGGTTCGGCGCGCGCTGCGCCCAGGCGACCCGCGGGGCGCTCTGGAACTTCCGGCAGTCCGGGCCGCCGCACTGGCACCGGGACGGTCTGCTGCCTCTGCCTTTCGGTGAAGAAGCCACGTTGCTTTGTTTGTGTTTTTTTTTTGGGGGGAAGGGGGGGGGGGGGGTTGGGGTGGTAGGTGTGTTTTTGTTTTTGGTGACACGCCCCACCGGACCCGTGGAGGCGTTTCTTTTTGGAGGGTGGGGGGGGGGGGATGACAGCGACCATGTCCATGTGGAGGCGTTTCTTTTTTGAGGGGTGGGGGGGGGGGGGGGGGATGACAGCGACCATGACCATGTTGCCAGACCCGGCAGGCGCGGCTTTGGTGTCTTCTGCGTGTGGCGGGGGGGGGAAGAGGCGGGCGAACTGCGCCCCCGCAGGCACGAGTTTGGCTGGAGCAGGGCATGTGGCATGTGGCAAGCGGAGTGATGGGCACTTCAAAAGCAAACCGCATGAATACACACACAAACATCCCATCCAACAACAACAACAACGTCAACAACAACAACACACGCACGTCCTTACTTTCGCACTTCGTTGGGCACCCATGGAGTCGGTCTTGGAGCCAGTCGCACTGCTTATTCTGCTACGCCTGGCACGGGTGTCGTTGCCTCCTGGTTTGGATGGCTGGCGGGCACGCAGCAGATTGATCGCTGCTGGCATCACTTGAAAAATATCATGCCCAGTGAGATGAAGAGCCGCGGTCCCAGCGGCCTGATCAACAGTCGCCTGTGGACGAGAGCATACCAATTCTTGTATAGACGGTCTTTGTGTGCCTGACATATTAAACATGTGGTCTCTGTGGCAAAGAGATAAAACAAGCAGTGCCCGATGCCAGCATGTCAATGCATGAAAGCTGCTGTTAGATACAAACGAACTTTTTGGCACCTTGCGGCATGCTCCTTCAGCAGATTTGAATGGTAAACGCGCGTTTTTGCGCGGGTCCTGCTGAGCGTGCGACCTTGTTTTTGGGGGGGGGGGGTAGGGTTTCTTAGTGGTCGTTGGTTGTTGTTTTTTGGTTTAGTTCTTTTCTTGTTTTTTTTTTGGGGGGGGGAACCACGTTCTTTTTTTGTGTTCTTTTTCCTCCAACAGCTGAAAGCTTTGGGGTCTCAGCCCAGATAGGCTCCGGGCTGGTCCGGAGCGGCCCTGAGGTAAGGTTTTACGAGGGTTCCACCGGGTTCCATGCCAGGGTTCCACCAGGGTTCCACGAGGTCCTGCAAGGGCTGCACTAAAAAGAGCACCGCATGCGTTCGGAATATCACCTGAGCTAATTTTTTGCAGGGGGGGGGGGGTTGGGGTGGTAGGGGGTGTTGGGGGTTTTGGGTTTTTGGTGGGGTCGATTCGATTTCTTCTTTGTTGAGGCTCGGAGGCTGGGTAGATCCTTAGTTGGTTTGGATCGGCTTGCATTTGGATTTGAACCCCCTCCTTTTCTCTCCACCAAGCCACCGATTCGGCTCAAGATGATTTTGAGCCAGTGAAGCGACCATTTATGCTCGACTCTCATGGCTGGTGGACATAAACCTCGGACGATCCCCAGTTTTTGGGGGATTCGAGCGATTTACTGGTCCCAGGCCTTGGGGATTCCTTGTTCTCTTTGTGAAGCGTCGTATTGTCTCACTTGCGTGCTGTTTGGACCCTGTGTTCTGAAAGGTTTGGGGGTGTTTTTTTGGTTTCCGTCTGGGCCCTGGTTGCTGAAAGGTGTGGGGGACGTTTTGTTTGTTGCCCATCCACGCCCGAAGTCTGTCAGACGCATTTCTGAAGGATCAGAAGCCACACAATTTATTTTTTTTGGTTTGGGTGAAAGCCGAGGGCTGAGGGATACCGCTGGCCAATGACGCTTTGGGGACCAGCTCCATGTTTTTTGTTGCTGGCGAGCTGAAGGTTTTAGGTTGAACATGAGAGAATTCAACCTCTCGCACAAAGTGTCCTGCAATTCTAGGGGTTGATTCCAATTCCATTCTTTTCAACCATCGTTCTTTTCAAAAACCGGGTGTTTCCCCTGGGTTTTTGATGGTTTCCAGAAGAGAAGGATCCCTGGATTCAGAATAGGGAAGGTGCCCCTAGAGCATGGGTGTGATTTCCCGACGGCGATGGGTTTGGAGCTGGTCATCCATGTGCTCTGATTGACCGGTGAGGATTGCTTCTGGCTAGGCTAGGTCCTTTTACCCTTTTTGGGGGGAGGGTTCCCCGACTAAAATAGGCTACAGAAAAAAAATCGGGTACCCTAATTCTAACCTCTCTACTCGAAAAGCCTAGTAGGGGTCCCCAGCAGACTGGACAAGATCCACTTGGCACCAGTTGGATGAAGCCCTGTGAGTACCTGGAGAAGTCCTTTTGGGGTACATCTGGATGCGGGTCTTTTTTTGCGGACCTCCAAGATGGTCTGTTTCCTTGTAGTTTCCCTTTGAAACCACCCCAAAAAGGGTTCCCTCAAAAACAAACACATCCATCTATGTTTCCAGCAGGATAGGAGCCCAAGACAGATAGCTCAATTTTGCCCAGTCGAAACTCACGAGTCGCCGTAAACCGACCTGCAATGCCATCTTGCGGTCACCCTGAATCAACCCCAAATCAGCCCTGAACGCTGTGCAATCCATCCATGGCCATCCTCGAACCGATGCTGAGCCAAACTTCCCCATGCAAGGCTGGTTGCAGCGCGTCCTGCCCGCAACGACAAATCCCGGACCAATCTCTGGATGGACGAACTCCTGCAATTGGAAGCTGGTTTATCCCCATACTTTTTGGGGTTTCATCTATCCCAAGTGGTGCAAGATGGAGTTCGTCCGTGCGAGGTTCAATGCCGTCACTGTGGCGCACGAGTACCCCGAGAGTGCTGGCTTTCCAAAGTTCCAGCCCTACACGCAGGAGCCTGCTGCTGCTGGGTTTGTCTCAAAAAAAGGGAATGCCCGCGCCAAACCGAGCACCCCAATTTGGCATCAACACTAATGCCGCCACAAGGGCCCATTTGGACGAGCTTCGCACTTCCACGTGAGCTGGCAAAAGGAGTGGCTTGCTGTTGGTTCGGCACGGGGACAACCCAAATGTCCCGCAAAACCAGGGGGACGGGCCGCAACTTTTGGTATCCTTCGTGACTTAGGATCGTGTGCAACGGGTCTTGTTGGAGAATAAGGCTTCATTGCGACGATGCGATAGCGCGGCAATGTTTGTTTGTTTGTTTGTTTGTTTGTTTTTTGTATGTGTGTGTGTGTGTGTTGCAACGCATGGTGTTGTTGACATCGCTTGAAGCATTGGCCGTGCAAGCAACTCAAATCGCTTCCATCCGTGCTCGCCGGCATGAGGGAGGTTTCAGAGACATGTTGCATCCATTGTGGGCCAGATGAGATGCGCCAGCGCCCTTTGCAAGATTACTCCCTCCCACGTAGACTTTTGGAGGCCGACAGAAGGTCGTGCCCAAAAGAGCGATTGGTCTATGCCTTTCCCCCTTTCCCCCGGCTCCAGGTCTGGTGAGGGTGGATCGAGTTTTCCACCTTTCCGCAAGGTTTCCATGGACCCAATCTCGCTTCCCGAGGGCTGCCGGACCAGTTTAGCGGTAAACCAATCGTTTGGAGATGTCTTGGCCAAGCCACCAAATAAATGACACAAGGTCCCACCAACAAAGGGTGCTTTTTTTTTGAGGGTGCTTGTCTTGTGGTTGGTTTTTACAGGGAAGACGAAGGGAAAACTCACCATTTCTCGCCAGGAGGGCGCCATAGATGAGGATTCCCAGCCCGGCAAGGAGCCTCAGGCGGGCCAAAGTGGCTTCAAGGGTTAGCGAAATGAAGGGGGCTCAAACAAGGTGATCGGCTTGGATTTGTTCTTTGGATTTGGACGTGATTTTCTGGTTCTTGTTGGGGAAATGGGAACCCACTCCAAACCACTCGTTTGGAGGGACACGGATCTTAGGGCGGGAGGAATTGATACAGAGTAATCCGGCGGAACAGACTCAAGCTGAGTAGGAGCAGGTAAGCTTTTTTCCCTTGTCCCACCCCTAAGTTTTTTTCCCTTGTCCCTGGGCCACGTGTGTTTTTTTTTGGGGGGGCTCTCCCCTCTTTCCGTTTTCGCGTTAAAAAGCGGCCGTCGCACCCGCGAGCGCGAGGTGCACAAGGGCGAGGAGCCGGGGGCGGCGGTGCCGCTGCGGCCGGGGGAGCTGCTGCTCTTCTTGTACTCCACGAAGCACGCGGCGGTGCCCAACTTCTCGCAGCAGGCGCCGGGCGTGGGATGTGGCCGGTGGGTGGTCCAACGCCCGCCATGAGGAACCCGCCCGAAAACCATGGCCCTTTGAAAGGGCGAAGAAACATGGTGTTGATGCGGGGGGGAGGAAGAAAATGTTTGGCATCTTGTTAAAAAGCTGAAAGTAAAGGAACATCGTACCCCGAAACGTCGGCTTCGATGTTCGTGGACTGGGTAAATCCAGTGCTTCCGCTTGGGGCTTCCGCTTGGGGAATATTTACCTTTTGGTGCAGACATAAACTTGCCGGGTGATCAAGACATGGAGTGCCGAACCTCTCAAGGTGCTCTTCAAGCGTCCCCTCGTCAAGAGATGCCCCAGAGCATGGGATTGAACCGTGCCCAGAATCGCTCCTTTGTCTTGCGATGTCTGCAGGGATTGAACCGGCCTGGGGGCCTCACCGCCGGGGGCCTCTGAATCCAAGGAATCCAAGCTCCTGGTGGGCAAAGTTGTTTGGTGTCCAGAAATTGAAGGCTTCGGGCTCCGGATGGCCACACCAGCCCCTGCACCAAGTTTTTTTTGTTTTCTTAATCGCGGGATGGGGTCATGTTGTTTTCGATGTTTGTTCCCAGATGTTCAGACGTCGAAGATGTTCGGGTTTGGTTTCGATTCACAAGCACGAAGGTTCGGGTTGGAAAGGTCTGTGTTCGCACAAAAACACGAAGCACGGGTCTTTCTGATTCTGAGCCTCGCCTGGGGCTTTTTGGTTGTTCCCTGAGTGAGTTGGTTAATGTTGACCCCGGATTAATAAACCCCTGTTTATTAATATAGGGGTGTCTCCGGTTTTTGTGGGGATTTATCACTTTTGGAGGGGAACACCCCCATATTGCTAAACAGTGAAAAATCCGGGGTCAACATTAGTTGGCTGTCCTGTTCGGTCAGGACCGCTGCTTGCTCTATTCGGTGTACGGCCCTGCGGAGGTGTGTGACACCGTGAACATCAAGAAAGGGCGGCCTTCGCTGGAAGCTTGACGCGAACGGACCCGAGTTTCTCACCTTTCGCTTTTCCGGCTTTGGTTTCGCTTTTCCGTG